GGTAAAATTCATACCTACGCTTTGTATGTCCCTTACAGACAGAAAGCTCTTATTGAAGCAACTAAAATCAGCAGACACCTCTTCAGCTTAAGCACTTCTCCACCTTTTGCAACTGAAATATTATGAACAAGTTTCATCACAACAGATGGGGAAAAAAATCAAATTTTTACACATTTTAAATGAATGCTGTCCCTTAGTTTTGCTAAATGGTCCACCTTAGTTTTCCCTCCCTTTCATGCTATCAAATTTTCTGGCTTATAAATTTTGAAGATTACATTTGAGATATAAATCAAATAAAAGATTTTACTAACAAGATTCTTTGTGCTTCTTTACTCTCGTTAAACTGGCTTTGTGTCATTAGCTAACTTCAAGGGTCGGTCTCAAAATCTCATAATTTGATTTCTCAGCCTGAGACCTTGGTTCATAAGCAACTATCTCACTCTCATCTAAGAACTTTAAGAGAAAAAAAAAAAAAGACTATGGATGACTATTCCAGGACAATTCTGAGATATTTAGCCAACACTTTTGCTCCTTCTCATGTTATGTATAATTACTGTTAATCCTGGGAAAGCAAGACTTTATGCAAACTACACACCATGCCCTGCTTTCAACCTGTAAGACTCAAGGTTTGTTGTTGTTTTCTTTCCCTTTTGAATATGAGGAATCAGAGCAAGTACTAAAAATTTAATTATCAAATTCAGTATGGCTCAATTTTGGTTAAATATTGAAGGAGAAATGCGTGAAGTAACATATTTTTTTCACAATTCTTATCCTGTATGACCCATGTGCAACATTTTCCATTGACGAAACTCTAATTCCCCTTAATTCTCCTCCTACACTTCCAACTCCATTTCATTTACTGATGGTAAATTATCTACCTTATAGGTTGTTTTAATTTCCTAGGGCTGCCATAACAAAATTCCACGAAGTGGGTTGCTTTAAAGAACAGAAAGTTATTTTCTCACAGCTCAGCAGGCCAGAAGTCGAATTCAGGGTGTTGGCAGGACAATGCTTTCTTGTCAGCTCTAGGGGAACATCTTTCCTTAGCTCCTTCAGTTTCTGATAGCCTTGGGCATTCCTTGGAGAAAGATCAGCACATACTGTCTTCCCCTGTGTATTACTTTTTCCTTTTAAAAAACACAATTTAAGAGAGATTAGGATTAGGACCCACTGTCCTCCGATATGACCTTGTTCAATTTAACTAGTAACAAAAGAAACACCTTATTTCCAAACACGGTCACATTTATAGGTTCAGAGGTTAGGATTCAACATATCCTTTGGATGGACACAAATCCATAACATACGTTCACTGTGAAGTTTCAGTGAGATAAAATGTAAAACCACCTGGAACTTAGTAGGCAGTTAACAAACTTGGGCAGCCTACCCCTACATTTACTTACCCTATAGAAATGGGTGCTTTTGCAGGATCCTATCCTGGATCCATTCCTTTCACACCTTATTTTCTCCTTAGATGATGCCATCTACTCTCATGACTTCAGCTGCCAAGGAGAACCCCAAATCTATACTTCCTGTTCTCCCTCGCTCCTGATCTCCAAAATGTGTCTTTGCCTACTAGACAAGTGGACCTAGGTGCCCCCTACACATCTCTACCCAACAGGTCAAATGATATCACCACTACTCAGTTATTACAGATTATCAGTCACCCCTGAATTATCTCATCACACCATCTCTTCCCCCTATATCCAGAAACCAGCTTCTGTCACCTAAATTCCCCTTGAAACCTCCACTAGACGATCTATTTTGTTTGCTGCTATATGCCCAGTGCCTAGAACTGTGTCTAACACCTAGTAGGAACCTGCTTAAGATATTTATTGAGTGAATTAATCTGTCCCCTCCTTTTCACCTCCACTGCCATAGATGTAATCCAAAATTTCATTATCTCTTTGGAGGATCATGTTCATAGTCCCTGAACTAGTCTCTCTGCCTCTAGTCACTCAAATTCCCCTTGCCTTCTCTCCAATCCATCCTATACAGTGCCTGCCATAAGTTAAATTGAAATGAGTCTGTGAACTTTCTAAAACACAGACCCCAACATTTTTTCTGGTCCTTTACAATGTAGTCTCAATTTACCTCTTTTGCTTAATCTTCTGCCACTTTTTTCCTCTCAAAATTCCCAATTTTCTCAGCCTTCAACACACATACTTTTTTTTTAGCTTTTTTTTGTTGTTGTTGTAGTTTAAGTGAAAGTTTACAATTCAAGTCAGTCTCTCATACAAAAATTTATACATACACTATTATGTGACCCCAATTGCTCTCCCTATACTGTGACTTTCCACTCCTGATTTCCCGCATCCATTCAACCAGTTCCTAACACTCTCTGCCTTCTCATGTCACCTCTGGACAGAAGCTGCCGATTTAGTCCCGTGTATCTACTTGAGCTAAGAAGCACACTCTTTACAAGTATCATTTTATGTCCCACAGTCCAGTCCAATCTTTGTCTGAAGAGTTTGCCTTGGGAATTGTTTTAGTTCTGGGTTGACAGAGAGTCCAGGGGCCATGCTTTCTGGGGTTCCTACACTCTCAGTCAGACCGTTAAGTCTGGTCTTTTTACTAGAATTTGAGTTCTGCACCCCACCTTTCTCCTGCTCCATCAGGGACTCTCTGTTGTGTTCCCTCAGGGCGGTCATTGGTGATAGCCAGGCACCATCTAGTTCTTCTGGTCTCAGGCTGATGAAGTCTCTGGTATATGTGGCCCTTTCTGTCCTTGGGCTAATACTTTCCTTGTGTCTTTGGTGTTCTTCATTCTCCTTTACTCCAGGTGGTTGGGATCAATTGATGCAACTTAGATGGCCACTTGCTAGCTTTTAAGACCCCAGATACCACTCACCAAAGTTGGATGCAGAACATTGTCTTAATAAACTTTGTTATGTCAATTGACCTAGATGTCCCCTGAAAGCATGGTCCCCAGACCCCCACCCCTGCTACTCTGTCCCTCGAAGTGTTTGATTGCATTCAGAAAACTTCTTAGCTTTGGTTTAGTCCCATTGTGCTGACTTCCCCTGTAGTGTGTGCTGTCCTTCCCTTCACCTAATTATCACCTACTATCTAGTTAGTGAATAACCCTCACCTTTCCTCCCCACCCTTGTAACCATCAAAGAATGTTTTCTTCTGTCCACTCACATACTTTTTTAACATTTCAAATTCCAGTTGTTCATTGCTGGTATATAGGAAAGCAACTGATTTTCGTATATTAACCTTGTGACCTGCAACCTTGCCTAATAGCTTATTTAGGATTTTTAGGTCAATTCTTTGGAATTTTCTACAGTCATGTCATCTGTGAACAAAGTCAGTTTTGTTTCTTCCTTTCCAACCTATATACTTTTTATTTTCCTGGGTTTTTTTTTGTTGTTGTTATTGGTGGTGGTGGTCTTTTATATTAGCTAGGACTTCCAGTGTGCTATTGATAGGAGTGGTGAGAGGACTCATCCCTCCCTTGTTCCCAATCTTAATGTGAAAGTGTCTAGTTTCTCACCATTGATGTTAGCTGTAGGTTTTTTGCAGATGTTCCTCTTCAAGTTGAGGAAGTTCCCCTCTATTCCTAGTTTCCTTAGGGTTTTTATTACGAATGGGTGTGGGATTGTCTCAAATGCTTTTTTCTACTGATATGATTATACGATTTTCTTCTTTAGTTTGCTTATGTGATAGATAACATTAATTGATTTTTGAGTGTTAAATCAGCCTTGCATAAAACCCACTTGGTTGTGGTGCATAACTCATAATATACTTTGTTAGATTCAATTTGCTAGTATTTTTTTGAGGATTTTTGCCTCTGTTCATCAGTTGTTGGTCTGTAGTTCTTCTTTCTTGTAATGTCTTTATCTGGCTTTGGTATTATGGTAATGCCACTCTCATAGAATGAGTTAGGAAGTGTTCCTTCTGCTTCTATTTTCTGGAAGAGATTATAAAGAATTCATATTATTTCTCCTTAAATGTTTAGTAGATTCAAGAGAGAAATCATCTGGGCCCGGTACTTTATTGGTAGATTAACTATAGATTCAATTTCATAGCTATAGGCTTACTTGAGTATTTTGATTGTCTTTTAAGGAATTTGTCCATTTCCTCTAACAAATATGTGGGCACAGAACTATTCATAGTCTTCCTTTATTATCCTTTCAATGTGCAAGGAGTGATAATCACTCTTTCATTTCTAATCTCAGTAATTTGTGTTTTCCCTCTTTTTTTCTTGGCTAGCCTAGCTAGCAGTTTATCGATTTTATTGGTAAAGAACCAGTTTTTGGTTTCATGGATTTTCCCTATGGATATCTTGCTTTCAGTTTCAATGATTTCTGATCTAATTTTTATTTTTCTTCTGCTTGATTTAGGTTTACATTGCTCTTCTTTCTCTAGTTTCCTAAGGTGAAAGCTTAGAGTATTAATTTTAAATTTTCTAATATATGCATTCAATGCTTTGAATTTACCTCTAAACACTGCTTTTGTTGCATCCTACAAATTTTCAGATTGCATTTTCATTTAGTTCAAAATGATTAAGCACTTGGCTACTAACCAAAGGTTGGCTGCTCAAATTCACCCAGAAGTACCTCAGAAAAAAGGCCTGCAGATCTACTTCTAAAAGATCAGTCATTGAAAACCCTATGGAACGCAGTTCTACTGAGATACAGGGGTCACTATGAGTCAAAATCAACTCGATGTTAACTGGCTTGATTTTTGGTTTTTTCCTGATAGTCCCTTAGAAATTACTCTGATTAAGTAGATGCCCTTTGTTATGAAGAGTGCTGTTGGCATGTTTCAAAATGGTTACATCCCCCTGGGCATTTCAAAATGGTTCATTTTTCCCTCTCACTAACCATAACACAAAGGAATTTTTCTCTAAGGTTGTTGTTGTTGTTAGATGCCATCGAGTCAATTTTCGACTCATAGAGACCCAATGTGACAAAGCAGAACTACCCCATAGGGATTTTTTAGGCTATAATCTTTACGAGAGCAGCTGCTGGGTTAGTTCAAACAGCCCGTCTTTTTTGTTAGCAGCTAAGCACTTAACAACTGCAACACCAGGGCCTCAGACTGGAAAAAAAAAACAGTTGTCATCAAGAGGATTCCTGACTCATGGTAAGCCCATGTATCTCAGAGCAGAACTATGCTCCATAGGGTTTTCAATCTTTGATTTTTCAGAGGTAGAACAGCAGGACTTTCTTCCAAGGAGCCTCTGGATGGACCTGAACCTCCAACCTCTCAGTTACCAGCTGAGCTTGTTAATTCATCATTTCCACCAACAGGGGCTCTACACGCAGTCTCTAGCAATTCATCAGTTACAATTTAAGTGTTCTTACAAGTTACTGGCTCTAGCAGCTTCTGCTCCTGGGAAACTGATCTAGGCTGTGATCTCCGTATTCAGCTGTTTCTCTAGTTTTAGTGATTGGTGGTTTGACCTGTGACCTCAATTCTCTGACGGATCTAAGTCCTTGATTTTCCTTTTGTTCAGCTTTTGTCTTGTTATGACGACAGGAGTGATGACTTTCAAGCTCTTTACATGCTGGAGTTGAAACCAGAAGTTACTCACATACTCTTTTTAAATCTTTTCCCATTTTCTCTATAAAGCCGGGGAGTAGTCTTGCCAGACTTCTCTCTGCTAAATGAACAGCTCTTCCTCATGTGCTCTACTACTTTGTGCAATTGCAAGTATTACACCTGCTGTCTATCGGCTCTGTGACTCTATGAATGCCTAGAGAACAGATACTACCTCTGTATTGCCAGAATATAGTATAAATCAATGTCTGCTGAATTAAAAGGGAAAAACTATTGTTTGCTAATTAAAAACAAAGTACTATTTTTAATTGGCTCATTTCTCCATTTATTAGAATAACCACATTTGGAGAGGCACAAAGCACTTAAGTTTTACATGACTACAAAGTTATCACAAATTCCAAACTTTTTAGCCACAGATATTTCACTTACTCCATTTAAAGAAAAAAGTTTTCAAAACATCTCAGTTAGTCCGATACACAGATACCCTAAATATATGGGAACTACATTATTTTTAAATGCTTGCACTTCCTGCTCTACGAATGTCTTCTTTAAGTAGAATCCAGCATAAAAGGGATTGAAATGTTTAAGGTCATGATGCAAATGCTCTGGAGACAAGTGAAACTAATCTGTACAACATGGAAAAAGATGTAGTGTGCACTGAGTTCTGAAGGGTTCACTGAGCCATCTGGGCTTCCATGGCTTGTGCTGTCCATTCTGGTGCTGTCTGACTGATTTTCTCCAAAAGGTTATTCACTTGGAAACAAAGCGATTGAATCTGTTTGTCCCAGGTTGGCAAGGCTTCTCGTGCTAAAGAAAAAAGGAATAGTGTACAAAATTGGAATTACTCCTTTGTATTCATAGCAAATGTGCACTAAAAGATAAACGCAGAAGTATTAATTTTTAACAGTTTATGCCAAAACTCTTGGCTAATAAAATTAAGCAATAGTTAAGAAAAGTACCCATGGATGAGAAGGCAAGAGGAGACAGGAAAGCTGGTTATGGGGAACCCAAGGTTGAGAAGGGGCAAGTGTTGACATGTCGTGGGGTTGGCAACCAATGTCACAAAACA